TAAAGTCCAAATATGATTATGCTTATAAAATCGCTTATTTGAAATGTACTCTTAACCTGAACTCAAATCCCAAAAATGAAGCATTTTCGTTAAATATAAGCCGAGAAAACGAGGGCCAAAGTTGGTATCTAAGAGCGCTTTTTTATTATAGCAAAATTCGCTTACATTCTGCTTCGCTAAATGAAGTACGATTGTTTTGATATTTCTAAATCATTTCTATGGCTGTCATATTACGCTACGCCAAAAGTGACAAAATACCAAAGATGCAACTTTATAATTCAAATCCACCAATTCACTATCAAGATCGATAAAATTAACATCAATTTGCTTTTTGAATGTGTCAAGATTGAAGAATTTAATTTCAATTCCCTCGTGTTTCATGTCATGTATCAAGAGACACGTTTTCTAAATCAAGATGCATGTTTTTTAAATCAAGAAGGGAGACGACAATTTTTGATCAGTTTTGTTTCCGAGAGGGACTGAAACCGAAAAATCTGCCATGCCCCATGAAGAATTCCGCCCACGCCCTCTCGCGTTAGACATGGCGGAGGAAGGAATCGAAGAACTTCGATCAGCACAAGAAGGAGTTAACACATCTCGAGCTAATGTGGCCTCAAACGTGTCAACACCTGACGAAGAACTGAGCGGCGATTTAAGAACGAGATAGGCTCGATCAGAAAGAAAGCAGAACAGGCTCTCCTAGGAGCGCTGGTGAAATATCACCACAGGCGCGCAAAACGATGATTAACAAACAAGCTTTGTAAACTCGAACAGTATAAATCTCGCAGGAATACTATTACTAAGCAGACGTCTCACCAGAAAACGCCATCACCGGCTTGAAAGAAAACTGTCAACAAAGATGACAATGTAAATTGAAGAGCAAGATTAGCGAAGTCGATGTATTGTTAGCACAAATGAGATCGCCAGTGTGTGCGAATATAAACCAAAGTGATCTTACTCTTGTCTCGTATCAGACTCCTTAGAAGTAAGGGGAAAAGGGAAAGCAAACCGCAGAGATAACAAAGCGGCCAAAAACCACAAAAGAAAAGAGCGAAGAAGAATCAAAGACAAAAAGCGCTTTTGTGACGCCATTGAATATCAAAAACTTGTCAAATGAACAACTGACAGATGAACAAATTACTCTACTATCGCGTGGTCTAAAGTTTATCCCTACACTTGTGGCAAAAAAAAATCTTGTCAGGCGCCAGCTTCTCGCGGATTGCAATCAATTTGCGAGACGAATGCGACTACAATATATCTTTCACGGACAAGAAAACGAACCTCATCCTTTCAACGTGAAGTCGGACTGGGAACCACAAGGCCAGCCATCTTTAGCTCTGGAGACCTTCCTAGAGGAGGTAAAATTAGAGCTCGCAAGTATTGAATTTGACAAGCCAAAAGATGATATATCTACGGGAGAGCGCCAAGCTCTCAAAGAGTTATCGCGCAACAAAAGCATTATTCTTAAGAAATCTGATAAAGGTAACACCACCGTACTGATGAGCAGACAGGGCAAACTAAACGAAGGTCAGGTTCTCGACCTACAGACAAACCAATGGTTGAAACTACAACCAAAAAAGCTCAACAACTTATTAAAACACTGCTCTCAGAAGGCCCGTCGATAAAACGACGGCTAAATGGCTCTCCCCTACGCCTAATCCTCCGCGAATTCCAGTGTTTTACACTCTTACTAAAATCCACAAACCTACATCTGTCGGAAGACCTATTATTTCAGGGTGTTCCGGACCTACAGAACGGATCTCAGCATTTGTTGACCACCTTATTCAGCCAATAGCACAACTACAAGCTTCGTATCTTAAAGATACGACAGACTTTATTAACTTCATCGAGAGGATTAAACCTGCCTAAAAGTGACATACTTGTTTCAATGGACGTCACAAGCCTATACACAAACATACCACAACGAGAGGGTATTATCACTGTATGCCATGCATAGGAAGAATTTCACCAAGGAAACCCTCCAGTCCCTACCAGGTTTTAAGCGAAATGCTTAGTCTGATACTACTAGAAAACTCGTTCCAATTTAACGAGAAAGATTATGTTCAAATCCATGGAACAGCCATGGGCACGAAAATGGCCGTAGCCTTTGCTAACATCTTCATGGCCAAAATAGAAAAATAAATACTCAGACAGAGCAGCATTAAGCGCATCTTTTGGAAAAGGTTTAATCGATGACGTCATATCAGTATGGGACACAGGCATAAACGAAATAGAAGAATTCCTTCTAAAGGCAAACAACTTCCATCCTACAATCAAGTTCACGCCGCTGAAATATCAGAAACAGAGACTACATTCTTGGACACTAAAGTGTACGAAGGTGACAGATTAAACAAGGATTCTATCCTTGACGTTCGAACACACTTCAAGCCTACAGAGACATTTGAATACACGAATTTCTATTCGTGTCACTCACCTAGCCTCCTCGCAGACGTCTTTTGGAGTGTGACGAACGAACCCCCAAGGACGTCTGCGGGAAGGCTAGTCACCCACCAGCGTCACAAAAGGCTTCATCAAAGGAGAAGCTTTAAGTCTTCTAGGAACAAATTCCTCTGAAATCACTTTTGAAGAGAACATGAATCTCTCAGAGGTCATTTTCGCAGACAGAAAGAGAGCACTAGAACAGAGAAACAAAAATGCACGTAAGAAAATACTACCCTTTGTAACGCAATACCACCCTGCGTTGCCCAACCTCAAGAACATACTCATGGGGAAATGGCACCTTACACAGAACCAACCATATCTCAGAAACATCTTTAAGGAACCTCCCCTCATTTTATATCACAAAGGAAAATCCCTAAAAGACACTCAAGTAAGAGCTAAACTATAAAGGTTTTAAGACCAATCTGTTTGCGAACTGCAGGAGTCGTGCAGGCCCGTCAACACTTCCAACCTGTATGCTCGGTTTCAGTCCCTCTCGGAAACAAAACTGATCAAAACTTGTCGTCTCCCTTCTTGATTTTTAAAAAAACATGCATCTTGATTTAGAAAACGTGTCTCTTGATACATGACGTGAAACACGTGGGAATTCAAATTAAATTCTACAATCTTGACACATTCAAAAAGCAAATTGATGTTAATTTTATCGATCTTGATAGAAATTTGGTGGATTTGAATTATAAAGTTGCATCTTTGATATTTTGTCACTTTTGGCGTAGCATAATGGCTGTAAAAAGCCTTCTACATGCAGACACATGAGATATATGATCCTTGTAAGGACGATGATAGATAAGGCCGCAGTTTAATGATCTGTTATCCAAATTAGCACGTTGTTAAGGCTAAAACATTGTTTTAATACGACGCCATATTGAGAGCACGTCACGCAACGATTTTCTCGCCACTTTCCGTGCTACAATCGGATCAGTGTCACAACAAACATTAAGAACAGCGGTTTACTCGTAAGAATTCAAGATGGCGACGAGAAAACAGCGCAGCGCGACGAAAATTAAGGCCGAATTAAGGGCAATTTTGCGGCTGTGTTGGACCGCACTGAAAACAAATCGATGTTAAAAGATGAGGATTTATAATACCGCGCTGAAACTTGCGAGGTTTATTCACATGATGTAAAGGAAAAATTTATTGAATTCCCGGCAATTTCCGGAATATTTTGGAATTTAATGCGGCGGCCTGAAGTTACAGGGCATTACAAACAATTCCACCTCGATATCTCAGGAAAAATTGACTGGCTACTGACGGGAATTTAAGGTAAATGAACAAACTAGGTATAAGTCAGTTCCTATTTTCTTGTTACTGGGCTGCCTGTGAGGCCCAGTCATAAAATGGGCTTTCGGTCGTCTGCGGCGAAAAACGGCCTCCCGGGGGAGGTAAGACACGAGGGTCTGGTACCGAGAAACGATGTTCTCACAAACGGTTTCATATGATTTTCTCTTGCACGAGCCCTTGCACGGATACTTTTTGTACCTCGTCTGCGCTCCCCCTTAAAAACCCACAAAGCGTTGCGAACCTGAAGAAGGCTATTTGCGTTGTTCGAAGCGATTCGATCATGGGAGTCACTCTATAATTGCTGGACTGCCTGGCAAGCCCAGTCATAAAATGGGTTTTCGGTCGTCGGTGTCACAAAGTGGTCATCCGGGGGAGGGAAAACACGAGGGTCTGGTACGTAGAAACGATGTTCTCACAAATGGTTTCATATGGTTTTCTCTTGCATGAACCCTTGCACGGATACTTTTTGTACCTTGTCTGCGCTCCCCCTGAAAAACCCACAAGGCGTTGCGAACCTGAAGAAGGCTATTTGCGTTGTTCGAAGCTATTCGACCATGGGAGTAACTCTATAATTTTTTTATTGTTCGAGTTTAAGTCAGTTAGATGATGTTGGCGCTGGGAAACTCAGAGAAATTCTCGCGTTGCATTCAAACCGACACGTCGTTCACGGTAGGTTCACACTAAAAGACTGAAAAGATGACTGTGAGCGTCAGGTTTGGAACGCCGTGGCTGCTTCGTGAACTATCGATCGATGTAGTACATGAACAGTTAAGAAGCACAATTTATGAGCAAAGTATTTCACCAGTTGACGACACTATGGCTGAAGACTTGATTGTAAGCCGTCATAGTCTGTGAAGCGAACAACTCAGTTGCCGATGAATGGCAGATGAATCCTGATGTGAGGCACGTCCATAAGCGAGGGACGTGACAACTTTGCCATGTTACAAGACTGGCCTTTCCCTTAAATATTTCCTTCTTTTTAATGCAACACACGCCACTTTGGAGATCTAAATTTCGGATACTGAGGATAAAGAAGACACGGACAGAAATAGGAACTGTGAGAATTTCGCACACAAGTTTAAAGCTTCTCCGGGACATCCCATCCGGGAGTATCAAAATATCTGCGGTACGAAGTTTAGCAGATATTTGTTTTCTGCACTTTCTGAATTTGGTATTTTCATTGTGTTTTTCAATGAAGTGTTCAGTAGTTACGTAATACGTGTTAATTGCGTTTCATATATAAGTTGTTGTCAGTCAGTATGTTCTTCCTTCGGGTCTGCAACGCCACACGCTACAACACTGTTCTTTTTAACAAGAGTGACGCGGAGGAGAGCAATTCAAAGTAGACAGACTGCAAATTATCTTAGTTGCTAAAAAATATATATCTACGTGTCGCAACTGTTCATCTGTAGGATGCCTAAAATGCGTGCAATTCCACTATTGGTTTCGGCTCCATTAAATCCTATACCAATTGCAGAACATTTTACGAGGAGCCACCCACCATGTGAGCACAGTCACGGACAATGTATAAGTGAGGAAAATAACGCAACGTAAAATTAAGACGTTAATAAACGAACTAAATGTACACGTCAATTAAATAAATAAACGTTCTCGTCCGAACCCTGAAGTCGTAGATCCTTCTATTGGCGCTGCTATACAGGCTGCCATTAGTCGTTCTATAGGTTCTTTAACCGACAACCTTACACAGGTCATTGAATCTCGGCTTACCGATTTTGCCAAGCGTTTTTCAGAGGAAAACAGTTCGTCCGTTGAGCAAGCTGTTAAGAAGGCGCGTTGCAAGCAATACACGTGCAAGAGAAAGGGTAACCAGCAGCAGTTAGACCATTCCCTCCAGGTGTCGGACAAGCTAGACGAAGCTTCCGACGCACTGAAGCACAAATCTTATGAAAAAGCTAAGGCTGCTTTAGAGTCAGGTACGGAATTAGTGTCCAAGCATGTTAAAGCAATAAAGCTAGCCGACAAGAGCGAGTTTGGATGGGCGACGGTCAATGAGTATCTATCCGACGAACTCGCCTCTGACTCAGATGATGAGAAGAGAATTTACCGGGCCGAGAGGAGAGCTGAGAGAAAGGTCACTAAGGAAAAACGTCGTCGTGCCCGTTCTGGCGACAAAGGCAGTGGCTCCGCCTCTACTTCTCGGGCGACTTCATCAAGATACGCATCCAGCGATTTGGTTTCACGCCCGGAGGCTAGACCAGCGCGTCGTTTGGGCCCCTGTTTTAAGATAAGTACCCAGCACTTTTTCGCTTTACTATCCTTGTTTCTTTCTTCGTCGATTATGGCGTTACCCCACAGGCCATAATCCAATATTCTCCGTGATTTGCTGCATTTGTGTTTACATTTATATACGAAGTTTAGCAGATATTTGTTTTCTGCACGTTCTGAATTTGGTATTTTCATTGTGTTTTTCAATGAAGTGTTCAGTAGTTACGTAATACGTGTTAATTGCGTTTCATATATAAGTTGTTGTCAGTCAGTATGTTCTTCCTTCGGGTCTGCAACGCCACACGCTACAACACTGTTCTTTTATTTTTATGTTTTTCTGTATGTGTTCCCCTTTTTTCAGTGCGGGGATTTTGGTCATTTGAGTTCCACGTGCTTGAAGCCTGCGGATTCTTCGAAGAGTAGCTCTCGACGCGATTGACTAGATGGCGACTCGTCGACCTGTGATGAAGTTGAGTGTGATTTAATTCATTTATTGTCTTGTTGTTGCGACGATTTTAGTGCGAAAGGCGGAAGCAGTGGCGTGAAAGGTCGCTTGCAATCTTCGTTTAACTTTTGGGTCGAGACTTTGCCGTTTGCCGAGTACCCCTCGCTGTGCTTTTTGAAGAACAATAGATCAGCTCTTCAGCATCCGGAATTTGTCGCTGATGCTATTAGCGAGCTTTTAAGTAAAGGCTGCATTCTTGAGCACGAATTCCCCCCGTATTGTGTTAATCCTTTGACAGTCGCTGTTGGGAAGAAGCTTCGCCTGGTTATCGATCTGAGACACGTAAATAATTATTTAGTAAAACCTATATTCAAGTACGAGGACTTACGATCGCTTTCTCAAGTTCTCGATGAGGGACACTGGTTTTTCTCTTGGGACCTTAAGTCCGGTTACCACCATGTCGATATTTGTCTCGACCACCAAAAGTACCTTGGTTTCGCGTGGCCTTGTTCTGGCGTCGTCAGATATTTTTCCTTTACAGTACTGCCTTTCGGGTTAAGTAGCGCTTACTTTTGTTTTACCAAGTTAATGCGCCCGTTAGATAGGCGTTGGCGTTCTATGGGACACAACAGTTTCATTTATTTGGACGATGGTTTCGGGAGTCGACCAGACAAATGTTCTGCCGTGGCAGCTAGCTTAATTCAACGTAAAGAGCTCTCTTCATCTGGTCTTCTTTGTAACGAGGAAAAGTCTCACTGGGATCCAGTTCAAACTGGCGAATGGCTAGGCTTCGTTATTGATACTATTTTAATGTGTTTCCGGATTCCCGAGAAGAAAGTTCTCAAGCTTAAAGGCTTGCTAGATTCTGCGATTCAGGATGGATTCTCTTCATTTCGCGAGTTAGCGAGAATAGCAGGCACTATCATTTCAGCTGCGTTAGCTGTTGGTCCAATTTCTCGTCTTTTGACCAGACAAATGTACTTCGCCATTGAAACCAGATCGGCTTGGGATGACATAATTCATTTTCCTCCGAGCCTTTTACAAGAACTGGAATTTTGGTATTGCAGCATCGACTGCTTAAACGGCTATTCTATTGGGCCACCGTTAGCTACGCATACCGTTGTATTTTCCGATGCTAGCGACGTAGCGTTCGGAGGATTTTCGGCTACTTTAGACGGCTCTGTTGTTAGCGGCATGTGGGAGTGCGAGGATATCGGCCAAAGCTCTACGTTTCGCGAGCTGAAAGCAATTTTTTACGTGTTGCTTTCTTACGTGGCTCAACTGAAACACAAGAGAGTTAAAATCTTCACTGATAATCAGGCCGCCGCCAGAATAGTTGCTATCGGAAGCTCCAAACCTCACCTCCAGGCCCTGGCTATGGATATTTTCCATCTTTGTCTTGCCAACAGCATCGTTCTCGAAGCCCAGTGGATCCCTAGGTCTCTTAATAAAAGAGCAGATCTTCTTAGCAGATTTATTGATAAAGACGACTAGTCCATCAATCCCTCGGTATTTCGACTTGTCGACGCTAAATGGTGCCCTCACACAATTGATCGCTTTTCGTGCTATTACAATGCCCAGCTTCCGAGGTTCAACTCTAAATTTGCTTCCCCAGGTTGCAGCGGTGTGGACGCCTTGGCTCAGGATTGGCGATATGAGAATAACTGGGTTGCCCTCCGGTGGGTGCCATTGTGCCTTCAGTTAGGGCTCTCTCGTCCTGCTCCGGTTACGGCACTTTGATCGTTCCACAATGGCCTTCGGCCTATTTTTGGCCTTTTTTGCACGACAACGTCTTCCAGTTCAAGTCTTTTGTTAAAGAAGTGTTTGAGCTTCCTTGTATTGAAGACCTCTTGCTGGAGGGTCCAGGACAGAAGCAGATTTACAAAACGCGTCCGTCGGCGTTCAGCGGCTGCCCGAAATTTAAAATGTTAGCTTTGCGGATAGATTTTAGGTGAGCTTTCCCATTTTTGTCTCCCCTTACAGCTCATTTTTGTCGGTGTTTTTTAGGTTTATCTTTGGCAGTGTATTTTTGCCTGATTTGGCAGCGTATTTTTACCTGATTTGGCGGTGTATTTTTTGCCTGGTTTGGCAGCGTCTTCTTGGCTCTGAGTTCGATGTCCGCTTCACCACGCAGTTTGCCTGTTTTGGCGCCGTCAGTTGGCCTTATTTTATGTTTTATTTTATTGGTCTACATTTGTTTTATTGGATGTTTGCTATTTTGTTGTATTTTTTACTGTTTTTTTACAGCGTTACCGGGCCCAGCCAGTTCGGCTTCCGTTTGTCGTTGTTTCTCATTACATGTCGTTTTTACGCTGTAGTACTGTCCGTGCTGCATGATTATGATGCAGCATCACATTTTCTACTGTATTATAATTTTAAATGTTTTCCCTTTTCCTGCCTACTTTTATTTTATTTTTTAGATGTTCTCCAATCCGGGATTTGGAGTGAAGCGAATTCTTTGGCCGATCCATCCTTGCGCAAGCTTGTTCCAGACCCTCTCCATTTACAGTTTGAGTCCAAGGCTCCCTCTACCGTGCAGAAGTATAGATCTGGCTGGATCAGATGGCGTGAATGGGCAGATTGTAAGATTGGCGTTTCAGTTATTCCAGCGAAGCCACGGCACATTGCTCTCTTTATCAGCGAACTTACTGCTGTTTCTATTTCTAATAATACGGGGATATCCCCTATAGAGTCAGTTGTTTATGGTATTAAGTGGGGTCATAGTCTGGCCGGTATTGTAGAATGCCCTAGTGGTCACCCCCTTGTTAAGTCGTCCTTGGAGGGTGCAAGAAGGAAGCTTGCTCGTCCTGTTCAACCCAAAGAGCCTTTATCCGTTGACACAGTTTTAAGGATCGCTGAATATTATATTTCTAGTAGCTCGCTTGCCGTTATTCGTTTTCATTTCGTCCTCTTGGTTGGCTTTGCTGGGTTTTTTCGTGTGGACGAAATTCGCAATTTGACAGTTAGAGATGCCTCTATTTTCAACGAGTACATGTCAGTTTTTATTCCTAAACGCAAAAATGATCAATATAGAGAAGGGCAAACGTCCTTTCTAGCTAGGTCTCATAAGGCTACTTGCCCAGTTTCTATCACCGAAAGGTTACTTAAGCTTTTCGCTTCAACTTGTGAGTCATCTTCGCCCCTCGTTAGGCGAATCGTTAAAACTAAGTCTAGGGAGTGTTTTCATGCTTCTAGAGGAGTTTCATATTCAACGCTAAGAGATGAATTTAAGAAATTTGTTAAACCATTTGTAGGTGACATTGCTCTTTACGGCACGCACAGTATAAAGTCTGGTGCCGCCTCAAATCCTGCTTGTCGGAGTGTTTCCGCTGATCTGCTAGATATGCATGCTGGCTGGAAATGTGCCACTTCAAAGAACAGATACATTAAGCACACCGTTAGTGATCGCTTAAAAGTTGCTCAAACTATTGCTATTTAGTTTTCGTTTGTTTATTACAATTATTTAGTTTAGTAGTAGTCTTGGCGGGGGACTTAAGTCGTGCCTGGACCGCCACAGATTTCCTATCCCTTTTTCCCCACGGGGTTTTTTAGGTTAGGTTTTTTCTGGCTCCCCTGGCACGGCTTACTCTATTTTACTTTTCATTTCTATTCTGTACTAGTTGTTTGCATTTTCGTTAATAAAGTGGTGTTATGGCGTTACCCCACAGGCCATAATCCAATATTCTCAGTGATTTGCTGCATTTGTGTTTATATTTCTATAGGTTAGTGCAGAACTTCACAGAGAGCGACTTGAGGAAAATAGGAGCTATTACTGACAAGCCCACGTCGAGGTTTCAGGGGGTTGCTTTTGTTTGTATCTGTATCTTGCTAAGCTTTTATCATTAAATTTGTACATGATCTTGTGATCACAATTCTGTGTTTTCGCCCATTCAACAAGCACGCTATATTGATGTCAGCATTAGCGAGTTTCAGAAACATGCCTTTGAAAGTTTTCAGCTCTCGTGATGTTTCTTGATATTTCTTTTACCATTTTATGGAGATGTAAACTGAAGTCACCGCAAAATGGAAACTTAAAAAAGCGTATAATCCATTTATCTCGAAACATAACACACATGACTTATACGACCTTTATTTTCCTAAAGGTGTTTTGAATACGAACGAACACAGTCAGTGTGAGGGGCAAAAACAGCATTAATATAAATGAACCATAGGGTTTTAACTAATATAAGGATCAATTATTGTGCATGGAGATGAATCGCCTGAAAAGAGAGACTTCGCTTGAAGATGTGATCAGAAGTAAACAAAGGCATAATAGTGCGTCACGTTCAGTCTTTTTAATATCCAAGGAGTTACTGTGAATAGTGTTTCCATATTGTTTAGCTGGCACAAAAACCTCGGACGAGTTATAAAGCGGCATAGTTATCTTCCATGAAGAAAAGTTAGTCTTGGGTTAGACAAACAGAACTGGAGTGAATTTTTAACTCACATCGGTATCAGGTAAAAAATATGTTATCGATCGTTTCATCTATTTACATTGTTTGAAGTGAGGGCTGGTGAACGCAACATGCGAGCGAGAAATCTTTAAACTTTTTTAGGTCTCAAAATGCAAAGGATTTTATTCCTTTAAGTTTGAGAAAAATACCGTGAGGAAAATCTTAAAACTGAATATTTTTCATCTTGTGGAAAAAATA